GTGGACCTCACTGGATGGAAAACACAGAAATCAAATTGACATCTGTGGAAAGAGATGATGGAAAAGTTCAATATCATCAGTCAGAACAAGGCCAGGGGCTGACTGCAGAACAGACCATCAATTACTCATTATGCAAATTCAAGTCGAAGTTGAAGAAAATTAAAACAAGTCCACGAGAACCAAAATATGACCTTGAGAATATTCCACCTGAATTTGGACACGATCTCAATAATAGATTTGATACATTGAACACTAATGACTGAAGACCAGACGAGTTGTGGAATGACATCAAGGACATCATACACGAAGAAAGCAAAAGGTCATTAAAAAGACAGGAAACAAAGAAAAGACCAAAATAGATGTCAGAAGAGACTCTGCAACTTGCTCTTGAATGTCGAGTAGCTAAAGCAAAAGGAAGAAATGATGAAGTAAAAGAGCTGAACAGAAGATTTCAAAGGGTGGCTAGAGAAGACAAAGTAAACTATTATAATGAAATGTGCAAAGACTTGGAGTAGAAAACCAAAAGGGAAGAACACGCTCGCATTTCTAAAGCTGAAAGAACTGAAGAAAAAATTCAAGCCTCGAGTTACAATTTTGAAGGATTCTATAGGCAAAATATTGAACCATGTAGGAAGCATCAAAAGAAGATGGAAGGAATACTAGAATCACTGTACCAAAAATAATTTTTCAACGCTGAACCATTTCAGGAGGTAGCATATGATCAAGAACCAAGGTATTGAAGGAAGAAGTCCAACTGCACCGAACGCACTGGCAAAAAACAAGCCTCCAGGAATTGACAGAATACCAACTGAGATGTTTCAACAAATGGATGAAGTGCTCACTCTTCTATGCCAAGAAATTTGAAAGACAGCTATCTGACCACCCAACTGGAAGAGATTCTTATTTGTGCCCATTCCAAAGAAAGGTGATCCAACAGAATATGGAAATTATTGAACAATATCATCAGTATTAGACACAAGTAAAATTTTGCTAAAGATCATTAAAAAGCAGTTGTAGCAGTACATCAACAGGAAACTGCCCGAAATTCAGGCTGGTTTCAGAAGAGGACGTGGAACAAAGGATATCATTGGTAATGTCAAATGGATATTGGCTGAAAGCAGAGAATACCAGAAAGATGTTTACTTGTGTTTTATTGACTTATGCAAAGACATTCAACTGTGTGGATCATAACAAATTATGGATAACATTGCAAAGAATGGGAGTTCTAGAACACTTAATGGTGCTTATGAGGAACCTGTGCATAGACCAAGAGGCAGTCATTTGAACAGAACAAGGGGATTCTGCGTGGTTTAAAATCAGAGAAGGTGTGCATCAGGGTTGTATCCTTTCATCATACTTATTTAATCTGTATGCTGAGCACATACTCAGAGAATCTGGACTATACAGAAGAAGAATGAGGCATTAGGATTGTAGGAAGACTCATTAACAACCTGCAATATGCAGATGACACAAACTTGCTTGCTGAAAAGTGAAGAGGACTTGAAGCACTTACTGATGAAGATCAAAGACTACTGCCTTCAGTATAGATTATATCTCAGCATAAAGAAAACAAAAATCCTCACAACTGTACCAATGAGCAACATCATGATAAATGGAGAAAATATTGATGCTGTCAAGGATTTCATTTTACTTGGATCCATAATTAATGCCCATGGAAGCAGAAGTCAAGAAATCAAATGAATTATTATGTTGGGCAAATCTGCTGCAAAAGACCTCTTTCAAGAGTTGAAAACCAAAGATGTCACTTTGAGGACTAAGGTGCACCTTACCCAAGCCATGACATTTTCAGTTGCCTTATAAGCATGTAAAAGATGGACAATGAATAAAGAAGACTCAAGAATTGCTGCCTTTGAATTATGGTGTTGAAGAAGGATTTATTGAATATGCCATGGACTGTCAGAAGAATGAACACATCTGTCTTGGAAGAAGTACAGCTAGAATGTTCCTTGGAAGAGAGGATGGCGAGACTTTGTCTTGTGTACTTTGGACATGTTATCAGGAGGGACCAGTCCCTGAAGAAGGACGTCATGCTTGGTAAGGTAGAGGGTCAGAGAAAAAAAGGAAGACCCTCTATGAGATGGATTGATACAGTGGCTGCAACAATGGGCTCAAACATAGCAACAATTGTGAGGATGGTGCGGGACTGGGTAGTGTTTCATTCTGTTGTACATAGGGCCGCTGTGAGTTGAAACTGACTTGATGGCACCTAACAACAACGCATAGTATGTACTATGTACATAGTGAGTTCCACAGGAAGTACTATGTACTTAATAAGTACCACATACACAGTGAGTATACCACGTGCACAGTGAGTACCTCATGCACAGTGAATACCTCATACTCAATATGTACACACATGCAGAAGTACCATGTGCTCAGTAATTACCACATACACAGTGAGTACCACATGCACAGGAGTACCTCATACTTAATATGTACACTTACACGGAAGTACCATGTAGACAGAAATACCGTGTAAGTGTTGGCTGTTATCATCAGTAAGTATCCCATGACCTCTTCCTTCTCTAAAGGCACAGAGCATCATCAGTTTTGCCTCCCTGCTTAGTCTTTCATCAATTTGCGGGTTTATTTTCCCTTCCTAACCAAGAGCTAAGCTGACTTATGTGCATATTGATGACTCTCTCTCATTGTTCATCTGCTTGACTGCACAGTAGGACCTCAAAACAACAAACTGAATTTCTAGTAAGGCTTCTGCTCTCCTCAGAGGGATTCTTTTGCTATCTTTTTGTTTTCTTCTTCTTTTGTCCTTTTTTTTTTTTTTTTTTTTGGTCTGTTTATTACAGACAGATCTGGGTATCTTCACCAGGCCTGTTTTCAAACCTCAGAAAATTACTGGATGCGGAGAAGAATGCCCCGTTCTGCTGGAGCCTGGCAAACTGAATGGCAGAGAAGCCTCAGCAGTGCTTTAGAAGAAGCAAACAATGGCAGCTGAGCTTTGAGGGACAGCGGCAAATGAGAACCAGCCAGGGTTCAGAGGAGCTTGGTTTTGGGAGGGAAGGCCCACCAGGACTCAAAGACCAGCACTTCACGGCTGAGTCCCCTATAATGAAATCCCTGCTCTCCCAGCCCATAGAGGTGGCATTTGTCCTGAGCACGCCCAGCATCCCTCCTACTCTGTTTTAAGTCAAGTACTATGACATCATCTTCCCCAGATTTAAAGACAACCCACCGGCTGTGATGAACAATGTCCATCTAAATACATTTAACCTGATACACAAAACCCCTTTACACGACCCTCCGTACTGTTCACTTGTTCCAAAGGCACTCTGTGCTACACATCCTGAATGTTTTGTTGCTTTAGATCTGCCAAGTTCTTATATCCCAAGTTAGTAGGATGCTGTGAAAATGGACTGACCACGGCTAAGTAAGAGAAAAGCTTGTATTTGTGGTGCCAACATATGTCCATACTGGTAGGGATACAATGATGTCCTGTTTTCTTTGAAAACATCAGTGATATGCTTTGGATTCTTTTTTAGCTTGGCATCCACCCTTGCTTCAGGAATTCTCAGCTATGGAGGGGAACTGTAGCATTTGTCCAGTCCAGGGATAGAAATAGATTCCATCCCTAGCAACACCTTTAAATGATCAGTGACAATAGCTTCCAAAGTCACGGCGCTGAGAAAGATACTAAGGGCAAGCCAGGGCTCAATGGCAAAGAGTCTGGTGGTTGAGTAGCAATATCTGCCACAGGCATGGTGGCACAGCAGGGCTCACACATGCCACTTACTTGCCATCCATGACTGTTTAACCTCTTTAGTCTGCAGATTAAGAAGTGATATGATTCTCTCGAGATCACACAGACAGCACTGGCAAGAAAGCAACACTCACATTGCCAGTTGTACAGTCTGCTGCCAGCTGTGTAGCCAAGGCTCACTCCACCACCCAAGCTCCACCAATGAACAAAATTAACAGAACAGGGTTATGGGGAGTGTGGCAGATTGAGGAAGGCAATGAGAATCATAGGCTTCGAAATTTGGGGAAGACCAGACCAGGAGTGGCTAGATACTCAAAGCTGAGGACACATCATGATGGCTGTTATTATTTTGCCAAGGCCTTACTGAGTCTCTTCCCTCCTTTTAATCAAGAAGCCACATTATCTTTGAGTACCTGGTGAAGGAAGAGTTGAGTCAGTTGCAGTAAAAGATGCCTTTATGATACTATCAGGAAGCCTGGATGGCAGTCTGTGGCACTCATAAAGTGTATGCATATGCGTGTGAGTGCAGGGTTCAGCATGCATGCACATCTGGAAAGGAGTAGGCACTAGTGCATGGCTAAGGACCAGTGCCATATGCAATGGTTGCCCTGTTGTGCAACTCTAGTGGGACACTGTGGTTCTTGCCTGCCAATATCCATTCCCCTTCCTAATTTACTTTCAGTAACTAATTCTCTTTACTCTCAGTCCATGATTTAGCTGGGACTGACTCCCCTCTGGCTTCAGCAAAAGGCATGTGACTCAGACTTAGCCAATCACAGCATCACAGCCCACTGGACACAGTTTTTGGTTCAGGGATGGCCACACGACTGTATGAGAACCAATGAGAGTTGATGTCAGGATATTGTTGGCATTATCGGGAAGAGAAGCTCTCTCAGGAGACTTCAGACCGGGGAAGGAAGTGGAGCCTCCGCATTAGGATGTAGGCAGCAGGGGAGTGAGTGCTTGAGAGTGAAGCCAACACAGGGAAAATGGAACCACAAGATGGACACACATCAAAACTAAAGCCATCATTTGGATGCCGGTACATACCCATGCCTGGAGGCAGAACCACCCCTGAAATATTTTAGTTGTGTGAGCTGATAAATTCTCACCTCCCCCTGCCCTTTTTGAGTTGTGTTTCTGTACTTTGCAACCACAAAAGAAACTTTGGCCAATGTAACAAGCTAATGACCCATTTCTCACACATGACAGACAGACCCAGACGTTCCTCCTCGAATCCAGCTTATCTGGAGCAGCCGGTTACCTGCAGGGAGCCCTGGATGTCTCTCCCCCCAATGATTACAAGTTCTGCCATGTCTTCCGCATGGGGCGTCCGTGCGTGGATGAACAGAGTCCTTCCCACTGCAGTTACATTTCTTCGGGAGACTAAGCTGCCGTCGCTGTTCACCTTGAAGTATGGGCTTGAGATCTCATAGCGCAGCTTGTCATTCCCCTTACAATCACTGAAGGTCACTGGAAACAAGCACAATGGGGACACAGTGAGTAGGCTGACAGCCCAGGCCTTGAGGTATCTCTGGCCTGTTGAAGGTGGACCACCTCCCAGAGCCCATAAACACCGCCCCTTATTCTATACCAGCCCCCTTCTCCCTCCGTGGCTTTGTTCATGTTGAAGACTCAATCAAGACATACCCCTTAACCAGTTCCCATGCTCCAGGCAGGTAGTAAGCACTGAGGATGCAAAGATGAACAGGAGACAGCCCCTGGCCTTGAGTGTCATGGGTGAGGTGAGCATTCAGACATGGCAGAGTGATGTATGAGGAATGTGACCCAATCCTGGCATGTATGAGGTACTGTGGAAGAACCAAGGTATGTTTAGGAGCATCATGGGAAGATATTTGTGCTGGGTCTTAAAGATGAGCAGGAGATTAGAAGGCCTCAACATTCTAGGTTGAGGGAACTATGTGTACAAAAGCACTTGGGTGTGTGGTTAAATAAAACATAGATTTGGGGAAAGACAACTAACTTGGTATGCTTGGATTAGAGGCAAATTTGAGCTGGGAGAGGAATGTTGGGGATGTTGAAGGAGAGGCTGGAAATGAAGCTGAGATGTCCTCTGGAGACAAATTGGGGAAAGTCACTACATTAAGCTATTCACCTGTAGCTTGGACTATTTTTAGAGTGGTTCACCTGTAGTTTGGACTATTTTTAGAGTGGAAAAGTTCAAGATCAGGTTTTGGTCTGGTTCCAGTGTAGATTAGTGCTTCCCAAGGGCTGGGGTGCATCAGAATCAGATGAAGAGCTTCTGAAAATATCAGAGGACCAAGTCCAAGCCCAAAGATTACAATTCAGTGGGTCTGGATTATAAAAATTTGCTTGGAGAAAGGCAAGAAGAGAGGTCAAGAAAACCAGTCAGTTTTTGTTAGTTTTGTACGAATGATGCTCGGCTCAGATTAAACAGTGGTGCTGGCAACGTGGGGAGTGGAGGGATTTGCCCAAAGTTCCTAAAACTGAATAGTGAAGCCATGTGTAGGGGGCACAAAGAAAAGGAGCCATCCTGGATGAACCACATGAAGCAGGAGACTTTGTCACCAGCAGTGGTCTGACAGCTGGTCAGGCTCCCTTCTGACCTGGTGCACTCTTCTACCATTCCAGGCATCACAACCCATTGTGTGTGTGTCTTTGCCTGTCTCCATTTCAGGCCCCTAAGCATAAAATTGTACTACTGGCTTTTTCCCACCACTTTTGGTTTCTTAGCTCTCTGCTGAAGAGGCTTTTTTGTTTGTTTAGTAAACTTATAATTGAAGTATAACGTAGATACAGAAAAGGCTACAATTAGAATGTACAAGTCAATGAATTCACATAGCGAGTGCGCCCACACACCCAGTACTCAAGAAGCCCAATACCTAAGAAGTAAAGTATTATCCGCCCCCACCCAGAGTCCCCTCACATCCCTCCCTAAATAAAACTCCTACCCTCCACCGCAGAAACTACCTCAATCCTACTTCTAACTGCTTCTAACACCATAGATTAGTTTTGCCTGTTTTTGAACTTCATATAGGTAGGTGCCCCTTTGTGTTTGGCTGCTTCTGCTTGACATGTTTTGAGATTCATCCACGCCGCTGCTAGCTGTAGTAATTTATCCTTTTTACTGTATGGTATTCCATTATGTGACTATACCGAGTTCATTTAACCATCCACTTGCCCTTTGGCATTTGGGCTCTTGCCAGCTTTCAGCTCTTACAATATTGCTGCCAGGAACATTCTGGGGTCTATCTTTTGGTGAGCACGTACTTGTTTTTATTCCAACATCTACATAGGTCCTAGAACAGAGTTAAAGCTACTTAAATAGCTGATGAACTCAACTAATCTTTCTAGCAGGGAAGATGATGCTTACAGTGATAATGATCATATTAGCTGATAATAATAGTAATAAAAATAAAGGCTAATGCTGTTGGAGCACTTGCCCCATGTGAGGCTCAGCTGTAAGCACTTTTCACACATCATCATATTTAATCTTCACAATGACCCTGTGAATGGGATACTACTTTGGCCCCCTTCCCCATATTTTATAGATAGGGTAATCACAGCTCAGAGAGGGCAAAGAAGATTACACACACACACACACACACACGCACAGGTTTTCTCCCTAATTGCCACGTCCCCAGCGAAAAAGAAGAAGACCCTCAATGAGTTGGATTGACACAGTGGCTGCAACGATGGGCTCAAGCATAACAATTGTGAGGATGGCGTAGGACCCGGCAGCGTTTCTTTCGGTTGTACACAGTGTCGCTGTGAGTCGGAACTGACTTGAAGGCATCTAATGACAACAACATGAAATCTTAACACCACAGATACATTGTATATAAAAAAAGTTCTATTTTAGCTCCCCTACCCAAGAACCCATTTTCACCCCCTTGGGGGCAGTATCACCACACTGAGAATACAAGATCTATAGGCATCATTCTCCCCAGAAAGATGGACTAACTTGCCCAACGTCACATACAGAAACGGGTAGAGCAAGAATGCGTCCCCAATCTGTCTGCCACGACAGTCCAAGCTCTAGACCGTGTCCACTTCCCAAGAATGGCTGGTCAAAAGGGGAAAGGGCAGTTGCCACATTCTGACACCCTCGGGCCACTCACAAATCCCTCAGGGGGGTCGTCAGAGGTCCCAGGTGAGAATGTGAAGAGAGGCCAAATCTACATTCAAGACCTGACACATTGCAGGCATCCACCACATGCTAGCTCTCTGCAAACCTTGGCTGAATGGAACAGCTAAGGTCTGCATAAGTTGAATGGTTGTTTATTTTGGGTTGTTTATTTCAGGAGCAGATGCTTTAGATGGTGGTTCTTTAACACTGGCTACCTATTAGAATCACCAGGGGGGCATTAAATAAACAAAAAATACCAATGCTTGGCCCTGCCCTGTGCTGAGATCCTGGTATAATTGCACTGGTCTGGATCCCGGGCACTACTATTCCATGAAAGCTCCCCAGATGAATCTTCTGCCGCCAAGGCCAAGAACCAGGACCTTAGATAATACACTTCTTGTCAAGATGCCAGTCCCCACACTTCCCAGTAATTCCTGGCACAGAGAGGAGGCTGAGGACTCAGTACGTCAGGAATTGCTATTCCTGTGTCCTAAGAAAGAGCATTTTTTTAATGGTAGGTTTCAAAACCTTTTCCTAATGCTCTAATGCTCAGGAGGTCCACAATCTTGGGAAAATTGCCTATCCTATTTCTGCCTCAATGTCTCCATCTGTAAAATGGGGGCAAATAATAGTACTTACCTCATAGAAACTACAATCCACGTGGTGAGGATTAAACAAGAAAATATGTTCCTACATACATAAAGCACTTAGAACAGAGCTTGGAGCCCCATGTATGTGAATTAGCAGCATCGTTACTCCTGTAATTCTGGCACCAAGGTAGCTGCCTTTCCCTGAATGTCTGCCTTCCTCCAGCTGGTATTCCGCCTGCCTCCTGGGTCCTTCTACCTCTTTCTAATCAGGTACCCCTTCTCTGGTCTGCCAGGCCATGTGCTGTTGCCATGGAGATGGTTACTGGTTCCTATAGGTCCCTCCGCTGATGCTTAAGAGGGGAGGCAGATGGTTCAGACCCAGCCTTGCTCATTGCTGAGTCCTCCCCCTTTTCTTGGCAAAGCCTCACTAGCTCACCTGAGAGGTCATGAAGGAAAAATGACATCAAAGGAGTGAAAATATGAGCCCTACCCATAGTAGACTCCACAAAAGTGTGTCGAATAAACTTCAGATAAATGGTTTGTACAGATAACGTCATACAAATCTAAGGTACCGTTTTTCCAAAAATAATGACACTATGCTGAGAACTCAACATTCATGATTTCAAGGAATCCTCATATTGTCAACATGAGGAAGGGACTTGTTTTTCCTCTCTGGAAATTGAGACTTAGTGAGATTGAATGTGTTCTCTAGAGTCACCCAGCTGGTATGTGTTTAGAGGAGATACTCAAACCCAGGCTGTCTGACTCCAGAACCCACACCTCCTCATCATGCTAGTGTGCCTGGGAGGATGTCTTCCTTCCTTTCAACTTTCAGCTTCCAGCATCACAATTCTGCCAAACCCTCACGTGCAATCTATTACTCCCTTAATATTTTTCTTTTAATTGACTCGCTTTGTAAAATTACATAAAATTATTAGAAGATAACCTTTATAATACACATTGGAGTGCCAGGTGCATTTTTCTAATACACAGTAAAATAAATTTCAAGAGTCAAAAAAAAAAAAGATTGTCCTTGTATTATAAGTTGAATTGTGTCCCCCTAAAATAGGTGTTGCAGTAGCCTTGGCTGTGCAGTGGTTAAGCACTGGGCTGCTAACTGAATGGTCAGCAGTTGGAACTCACCAGCTGCTCTGTGTGAGAAAAATGTGGCAGTCTGCTTCCACAAAGATTATAGCCTTGGACACCCTATGGGGCAGTTCTACTCTGTCCTATTGTGTCGCTATGAGTCGGAATCGATCTGATGGCACACAACAACAACAAAATAGGTATTAGAATTCTAACCCTTATACCTGTGGATGTAGCCTGTTTAGAAATGGGATTTTCTTTGTTATGTTTATGAAAATATACCAGTGTAGGGTGGGTTCTAAACCTAATCACTTCAAAGTTATAAAAGAGTAGACACAGAGATGCACACATACTGGGGAAGATGGATGCCATGTGAGGATCACCAAGAACCAAGGACTGCCTGGGGCTACTGACAAGGCAGGACTCAACAAGGCAGACACCTTGATTCAGACTTCCAGCCTCCAGAACTGTGAGAAACTACAGTTCTGTTCTTTAAAGCCACCCCCTTGTGGTATTTCTGTTACAGCAGCATTAGGTAACTAAGACATCCTTGTATCCACTAAAACCCTCAGTGTGATGCCTATTCCACCTTCTTCCAAGAAATGCTGGCCTGGGCTATACTCCCCTCCCCCAGCCATGCTCCTATGTTAGCTACTTTGGCAATATCGAAATGAATGGTCTGACAT